TTTTTTATTTAATTTTAAAGACGCATACATTATATAAATACCATCTAGAATTTTTATTTAGAAATTATATCTGGTGTAAATTACAATTGCTTGTGGTAGGTTCTTTTCTTCGATTATTTATAACTCAAAAAGTGATTAATAATCAACATTATTTACTAAGAAAAAATTGAAAAAAATTTCAAATTTATTAAAAATTATACAATTGAAATTAAGATCCTTGAGATTAATTTATCCCACGTAATTTCCACACATAAATTTGCAGAAGTAATAATTGAAATTATATAATTCGTTTGACAAAAACAAAGATAAAGAAGGAATTGTTAAAACCAGTTATACTTCATTCAAAATATTGCAATTTTATCAATAAGATGGCGTAACCGTGCAGAATGGTTTGCATCAAAGAAAAGCTTGAAACCGCCATGTTTAGTAGACTGCTAGATGATGCGCCACATTACGTTTACGTAGACATTGAACTACGTAGTCTGTTTACCACTCGGAAGATAAAATAGTTATGCGTTTCTCCGTGTTATGTCCACAATGTTCTGTTTCTACAATCGAAATGCATGAAACAGAATAAAAATAAGTGTAAGCAATAAATGTAAATCTATATATTTGTCTAAGAAAAATCGGAATAATAATAAATTAATAAACTAATATTACATTATTTTTTATTTATAATTATACATATAAAGCATGAATATAATTTATATAAGGTATACAAGTTTACAAATGTATACTTTTTAAAATAATAGATTATGTTTATGTATACAATCATATAAATAATTTATTTCATTTAATGTAATATTTTATATTATTTGCCATATAATTACTTCTTGATAAATTTTACACAACATACTGACGTATGCTACAGTAGCGTAACTCCCTGTCGGCACTTTTGATGTAGCGTGTACAAAATTGAACTGCACATGCGCGAGGTAAATAACCAATCTGTTCTTCGGTCTTGTACTAGACTGCATTAAAATGTTCTATCTCGCTTTCATCAAGTTTTAAACGTATATCTATTTCGTTTTAAGTATATTGAATGTATATATATATATATATATATATATATATATATATACTACTTCTCTTCTTTACTTA